CGGGTAGCTCATTGTTAAGCGAAGATCTGTTGGTTGTATTTATCTTTTATGGAATGTAGTTGGTTTGGCTTACGAAGGAACGTAAGGGTCTGACTGTGAGATAGCCTCGTGTAAGTACAGCTTTTTTGTTTCATTTTTTGTATGAATTGCTAGGGTCAAAAATACATCTTTTTTGGAATGAGAGAAAGTGAATTTTGGTTCCTGTGCTTTAAATAATTAAAGTTAAAACTAGCTGGTTTTGACACGCAAAGCACTTTTTAAATTTTTGGAGTATTACCGTTTATTTGTACAGCATTAAACAAGAATAAATTCCTCCTTAATTTACATTTGTCAAATTTGCATCCTGAGTAGCTCAGGTGAAGACATTCGTGAGAAGTTCAGTTTTTTGACACTCTTTTCACTATGCGTCGTGCCATCTACTTTATGCAAATACTGCTAGAGCACGTCATTTTTACACGTATTTATTCATTACAATTTTTTCTTAGTGGTCCCGTACTGTAGCATTTGTTAGTTTCTTGAAAAGGTTTTGTTGGATGTTGAGATTTTAAGTTTCAAATAAAACGGTTTTGTACAAGTAGTATTTCAAAAGGCAGTTCAAAACTAGTTTGACGAATATAAAGTGAAGTCGTTTGAATTTGTAATAGATCACCTTTGTAAGAATGCGAACTTGGTGGGTTACTGATACAAAGGTGAGGCATGGCTTTCAAGTGGTATTTGCAGAGCAACTTTTTCTTGATGGAACTTTTACACAGCATTTATGTGAAGCCCGAAAAGCTATGAGCGACATATACTGCGGGTACTTTTATAGTTCTAAGATACCAGAAGAAAATTGGGTAGTGAGTGCGTAGAAAGTAGGATAGGAATGTTGTTGCATAGTGGACGTGCTAGTAAATGCTATTTGGTCAGTTGTTTCCAAGTTGTGGAAACACCTGTAACACGCGGTTGTTGCTGCTCCCTACTCGTATTTTGTTAAATTACGAAAACTACATTGAAGAAAATTGCCAACAGTGCCGCCCCACGAGTAGAATATAATCTGTTTTGCTTTTTTAAGTAGAGTCTTTGGCGTCTTAAAATATGCTGCAATTTTCCCTTGAAAGTTGCTCAAATCCCTTACAGTTCTGGGTGTATTGAATTTGATAGTCGTTGAGAAATTCTCAAATAGTGCTGCTTCATTTCTTGTACAGGTTTCAAACATATCGTAACAGGCTGAAAATCGTCAAGAATGTTGTAAATTGTTACAGCCACATCAGTTTCTTATTCATCAGTGTTAAGAATGAACTTTGGGAATTAATTTTTGTTAAAAAATGGTTTTATAGCAACAAAATTCTGCCTACGTACCATCTCTGAAGGGCGCTATAAAAACTATTCTTGGGTCATCTAATAGTAACCGTTTTCTTCTAAAGCACGGATCTTTTGCTAAAAAATAGCTGAGTTTTCATTAATGACACTTGTTTAGTTACATCTCTTCTTATTACAGTCAAAGTTACTAAAGGAATCATGCAGAAGTCTACGTGATAGAGGGACAAAAACAAAAGAAGGATTGAAGCAAAGGATAACCTTGTGGAAGGCAAGCAAACAGATCTGTCACTGTCTGGTTTTTCCATAGGGGAGTTCTCGTATTTAATATTTTTCTAAGTCCTTTCTCAGAAATAAATATCTCACTGTTGTAGAAGCAGTCTGCCATTGTTGCTCCAACCTCGTCATATTCGTCAGGACTGTATGAATGTTCGAAGGAAAGGCACAAATCAAATAAACGGGTTGGAGAATTAAGTCGTGGATCTTCTAAAGCAAGGAAATAGAAGAACAAAGAAAGGTTGAAAGTTAGCAGCTTGAAAGTCATAATGTAGTTGCACTTCAGAAAGCTTATTTCTGTTTCACGCATTAGCTTCGTCAACTGAACAAATGAAATAGAAATGAATAAAAATTTTAAAAGTGAGAAACTTTACAACGTTGAGATTTTACGCACCAAAACTTTTCAGAAGAGGTTTGAAATGATAAGAAGGTGAAATTGTTGTTGCTTATTCTATAAAATTTACCTGCAAATCGTTTCACAAACGCTGGTACATATCTTTTTTTCAGCAACACAGGTTCCAGAACTTTTTGGTAACCATCACATTCTGCAAAGTATGCGATCTTTGTTAACTGAAATACTATTTTAGCTGCAAACTATATTATTACTTTTTTGTTTAAAGTAATCAAAGGATATAGGTCGTTTTACAGTTTTGATTATTCTCACTAATCAATTTATCGTTTTTTTTTCATTGTTTACCAGTTTGAAAAAAAAAAATAATAATTTATAAATTGTAAGACAGGTTTATTTGACTGACTGACTGTATCCGAGGTTTCAATAATGTTAACCGGTGCAAAATAGAGGAGTAGAAAGCTTAGAATACTTTTCATAGTGATTATCAGAACGTCACGTAGATACAATAAAAAAAATTTCGAAAGAAAAAAAAAACAACTGTTGCGCATAATTTGTGTTGTCTTACGGTACCGTACCATCCATCTGATACAGCAATCACCATCAATTTTTTGGAAACTGTTTAACGTTAAATGTTGTGCAGTACTTTAACCTTTTCAAGCTAGTATAATTTGCAAAAAATAACCAATGTATTTAACTATCAGAGCTCTTCTAGTATTTTGGTGTCATCGCTTCCGGCCCCAAGTCCAGCTAACGGTAAGCCAACAATTAATTGATTAATAAAATTTTTTGGTCAAGTTTTTTTTGGACTGCTAACAACTTTTTTTTGTAACTTTTTAGACGAAAAACCTCAAAAATTTTGTACGTAAGTTTAAAAAATCAAAAACGAAATAGTGCATCAAATTTGAATTGTACGCATACATATTAATTGTTTGGTAAAACTTTGATGCTACTTTATCAGGAAAAAAACTATTCAAAAACGAATTTTAGCTTCAGCTTAAGTTAAGCTTAAGTTTTTATATTAACAGTAGGCTAATTATGGTAAGTTTAAACATCTGATATCAAATTCCTAATGTTCTTTTAGCCTGTACATTGCCGCAGTTTTTAAGACAAAGCCAACAATTCTTTAGCTATATAATAATCTGTTCCTTAGACCTTAATTCTGTTAATGGGAATCAGCTTTGAAAGTTGGGTGCAGTTGCTCAAATTTTCTTACAGTACTGTCTTTTTAACATTTTTTTTTTTTTGAAAATACATAGAAATTGAAAAACAAAAAAAAAAAAGTGAAAAATTGATGCATTATTGTATAAAAAAATGTACTTTTTTTGTTTTGAAATTTTTTTATAGAGATTGTTATAAGTTCCTTTTTTTTTTTTTGAATTTGACATACAGTAACCTTTACAAATTAGAAATAATAAGAAAATTTTGAACTTTTGTTTTTTCCATGAACAAAATTTTATACGCTTTTTGATATGTGTAAAATTCAAAAATCACTGCATCTGTATTTTTCTTCCCGTTTCAAGCATAAGGTAATTTTTTTTTTTTGTTTAAGAATACTGAAAAAATTATTCAGATTTATTATTCTGACAAATCTTTGTCTGTTACAAAAAAAAAAAAA